GATTACAATGATATAACACACTTCATATTTTATTCCACTCGTTTTTGACAAATCGGCAAAAATATATGAAATTTTTATATGCTCTCAATAATTTTCGTCCCAAATATCAGACCGCCGCCTAATAAGTTTCACTTCGAAAGTTTCATATTTTTGCGGATTTGTCAAAAACGAGTGGACCAAAATATGAAGTGCGCTATATCATTGTAATCAGAATAAGATATTCTATCGAACACATATATATAGGTGGTAGACGCTTTTTACTCATTGGGCGTCGACCGGTGAGATACCACCATGCCAGAATTGAGTAGCGCTAAGTGGTATCACCACCTTCCGCTACTGCGCTGGCAGTCCGGTTCCAACAATGAGTAACAGATAGCATGATGGCGCCTCCAGGATCAAAATATTCCGGAGATAAAATACCCGACCACTCGGATCTCCGGGCGTCGGGTGATCCTGGGGGTCCTTCATGCAAAGATATAAAGAGAAGATCAAAAACTCAACTCAGAATTGATTTTAGCAATATAAGAGGAATAAGTACAAATATGAATTCAGTTCACCAACATCTTGAAGAACAAAGACCTGACATCCTTGTTCTCACTGAAACTAAAATCAGTTCTGCAACACCTATTGTGAACTATCTTTATCCCGGCTATGACCTACACCACCGATTTCGACATAATTTTGGGATCTGTGTGTACATTAAAAATGACCTTTCATGTCATCGAGAGGAGAAGCTAGAACCAGCGAACCTTGATATCATATGGCTAAAATTCCCCTCAAAGTCATCGACCAAGTTTATCTGCTGCCTCTACCGACCGCCATCTAACACCGAGTACCAAAACTTTTTCGCGACATTATCCGAAAGCTGTGATAGTATACAGTCAAACTATCCACAGGCGGAAATTGTCTTTTTAGGCGATTTCAACGTCCACAATATACCCTGGCTGAAACACCACAACAAAACAGATAACGAAGGCAGAGAAGCATAAGCTTTTGCCATAAGTTGTGGTCTAACGCAGCTTGTCGATGAACCTACCCGTATCTCAGAAAGAGGCGAATTTGCAGCGCTTTTAGACTTGTTCCTAACCACAAATCCTGACTCGTACACAATTCAAGTAGATGCTCCACTTGGTTCGTCCGATCATAAACTTATAATAACAAAGTGCGAAATGCTCATCCCACCAAGCCAACAACCACTTCCTCGTAAAATGTGGCACTATAAATCGGCAAAATGGAATGACCTAAAACAGTTTTACCTGGATTTTCCATGGCAAGAGGTTTGCTTTAAAACAGCTGATCCCACTATTTGCTGTAATGAAATAACACAAGTAATCTTATCTGGAATGGATGCATATATCCCACATACAACTAAACGTAGAGCTAATGCAAAACCTTGGTTCAACAGCCAGTGTCAAACGGCTGTACAGAAAAAACACAGAGAATATAACCTTTGGAAACGACAACAAACCGCTCAAAACCACACAGAATTTATAGAAGCCAGAAATAGTTGCAAAATTACTATTGACTCCGCTAAAGAAACATACAATCAAAGAATAAAAAGCAGGTTGCTGAATTGTCCAAGTAGTTCTAGGTCCTTTTGGTCTCTTGCAAAAGCTGTTGGATCTAACTTCACCAAGTCATCCATACCACCACTTACAGATAAAAATAATCACTTAGCCACAACATCAGAGGAAAAAGCCAATATGCTGGCCCAAATGTTTTCCTCCAACTCCAACCTAACAGTGCCAAACGGAAAAACTCCACCGTTCATTGAAAGGGTTTCCCATAGTATGCCAGAGGTACCCTTTTGTCACAGAGAAATACGAAAATCCCTTAAAAAGCTAGATACAAACAAAGCAATGGGTCCGGATGACATTCCCGCAATAGTACTCAAAAATTGCGCCAACGAACTCACCCCAACTTTCGCAAAATTGTTCAATTTGTCTTACAGGCAAGGAGTATATCCATCATCATGGAAGTCTGCCGCAGTACAACCCATTCCAAAGAAAGGAAAAAAGACAGATCCGTTAAACTATAGACCAATTGCTCTACTTCCGGTGATATCAAAAGTAATGGAAAGAGTTGTGAACAATCACCTAACCAAGTACTTGGAAAAGTACAAAATTATCAACGATAAGCAATACGGATTTCGAAAATATAGGTCAACTGGCGATTTACTTACATACGTCACTCACTTATGGCAAAAAGCGATTGAGTTGCGGGGTGAAACAAGAACAATTGCCTTAGATATATCTAAAGCATTCGACAAAGTTTGGCATGAAAATCTGCTCAACAAGCTCAAAGCAATGGGATTATCGCCGAAACTTTGCACTTGGTTTGAAAGTTACCTAAAGGACAGATCCATTTATGTTGCACTGGATGGCCAGAACTCCAACTCTTACCAAATTAATGCTGGTGTGCCACAGGGAGCAATCCTTTCGCCAACTCTTTTTCTGATTTACATAAATGACCTCATAGATAAAACAGTAAATCCACTTTATTGCTTTGCAGACGATGGCAATATAGTCTCCTCACTCATACCACCCACAGGTCTTTCCGCACGTGAATTCCATCATCTTAGACTAACTCAAATATCGCAGATAAATAACGACCTGGAGATAATAGAGGACTGGGGTAACAAAAACCTTGTACAGTTCAACGCACAGAAAACCCAAGCAGCTCTGTTTTCAAAAAAGAACAGCACCGGTGAGCCAAACATCATGCTATCTGGAAGTGCTGTCACATTACAGAGTCAGTTGAACATCTTGGGGGTTACTGCAGAGACCAACATGTCTTGGCACAATCACATGGCAGATATTGCTAAAAGGGCGTCCCAAAAGCTGGGGGTGCTATTTCGTACAAGACATCTGTACACACCAAGCCAATTGCTGACACTCTACAAAGCCCAGATTCGACCAACTATGGAGTACTGCTCACATATATGGAGTGCAGCACCCAAACATACCTTAATGCTTTTTGATTGAATCGGCTTTTACTCGGTGGAAATCCATTATCTAATAAAAGATTTTTTAAGTAAATTTTAATACTTATATATTTCCACAATTTTTTTTTTTTTTTTTTTTTTTTTTTTTTTTTTTTTTTTTTTTTTTTTTGTTAAACTTTCAACATGTTTCGCTAAACTTTAGCTTCATCAGAAAGATTTTAGAAAAATAAAATGTAGACATAAAAGTGAAATTGACAAATATATTTGAATTGCCGTACTAAATACCATTCGAGCTCAGATTTTGAGCAGGATATTTTTTTGCTTGCTCTCTCATACTTACTTTCATGCAATTTATCTCGATCTGTTCAATAAAATCACTCGAGCTGCGCTCTCGTGATTTTGTCGGAACAGCTCTCGTTAAATTTCCTGAAAGTAAGTATTCGAGACCAAGCCAAAAAATATCCGGCTAAATCTGAGCTCTTATGGTATTACCTACGAATATTTATTGGAATAGGTTAAAAATATATTATTTCTTATTGGTGTGGCGTGCGCTTAGAACTGGGTATTTTTTAAATTTTTACACCCTGTATACTGCTAATTACAAATATACTTCAGAAGAAAAATATTTTTGCTAAATTTTATCAATAATAACAATTATTACATTAGTATTACTAGAATAAGTAAGTTAGAAACGTTGATCTCCACTTTTTTTCCGTTTCGCTACACTGTGCGACGGTGTAAGTTGACGGGTGAGGCGTAGCCGAGGCCGGCAAACACCGAAGGCCGAGAATGTGCTTTTCCACCGAAATAGATATACTATTTTTTCTGCGATCGGTGAAATATACATGAATGTTAAATGTTTGTCTTTTTGTTCCAATTATTCAGTAGTGTTCATTGATTTCTTAGCAACTATTGAAACATAATTAAAATACCAGAATATTGAGTTGTGCAACCTGTCAAAAATGCTGACAATTCTTGTCAATCTCAGAAAAACTATGTTTTCATGAAAAGTCATGAGAGACATTTTATAAAGTTTTCTGTTGGTCGTTTTCGGGAACACCGTTTGAAACATGTATCCCACGTCCACACATCCGGAAATTAGTTCGAATAAGACGTTTTTAGAAGGTTCTTTGTAACTGTGATATTTTCACTACCTATAAAATAAGTCTATTGGATGGTGTTGGATATTTTGAAGGAAGTCCAGTGAATGTTCATAGAGATCTTTGAAAAATGTCCTTTTTCGTTTTCAAGCGTTCGTATTAAGGCGTTTTTGAAACGCCCATTTTCGACGTCTATAAAACCTTTAAAGTGACATTTGCTCTAAAAAAATGCACCTTTGGATGTTCTCAGTTACTTTTACTGACGTTTTTAAAACGTTCTGACATCTGATCGGATAATTTTTTGAAACATTACTGTACTATTAGAGTATATCTACATAATGTATCTGTTGATTGTTGCCAAGAGTTTGGATTGGCTGACTCTTACTTTGTTTGTTATGTTTCTTGTTTTCTTATGTAAGTTTTTTTTTGTGTGGTTACGTAAGTAACATAATAAAGTGTGTGATTTTATTGCTATGATGCTATGCCTTACTGTTTCGTGTAATTATTTTTTTTCACTGCAATTCAAGATCTCTCACATTTCCCCTAAGCGGGCCATGGGATCGGGCGGCAAATTTACTCAATGCCCAGGGCGGCAAAATACCTAGAGCCGGCCCTGATTTCTGTTATGGAAAATCGAATTTTCCATACGTTATCCCCAGAAGCCACCCGTGAAAATACCTTCATCCTACTCAAAATCGATGTACTTTTCAACCCTCTTCGAGGCTTGTATGCGAAAATGGGGCACCTAAATATGTCACTATCTGACGGTCTATTAGAATACCAAATTAACTGCACAAATTCTTTTGTACAAGAGGTACAAGGGATAGTTCCTTCTCACGAAAAGGATAGTAGTAGTTTTTTGAAAATTCCAATACAGAGAGAAGACAGAAATTTTTTTTTTTCGATACTACCGGAGAGTCGACAGAATTATTTTATTTTTTTTTTCGATACTACCGATGAGGCCAGAGCTCAACCACCTTAGTTTGAGGATAGAAGAATGTTGGCGGTTGGAAGAAGCTACAAGAAATCAAGCCAGTTCACAACTTTGGAGGAAAGAAAGACATAAACGTTTCACTGCATCTAATTTTGGGGAACTATCAAAACGGCGGAAGACCCCTGATGACAGGTTTTTATCACGAATTTTCAAGCCAAAGAACATTGATCATGTACCCGGCATAAAACATGGTAAAACAAACGAAAACGTAGCTCGTGAAATTTACCAGAAAGCTGAGCCAAGCGTTAGGGTGTTTCCATCAGGATTGGTGGTCCACCCAGCAGCTAATTTCTTGGGTGCTTCGGCGGATGGCCACTTAGTCGATAATATGGAAGTTGGACAGGAAAATGGAGTCTTGGAAATTAAGTGCCCCTTATGGGAGTCGTTGTCGAAAGGTCTTTTTATATATTTAGCGATATTTTGAAATTGTCATAACTGGGAAAACCAGTATAATAGGAAATATCATTATCATTATGTTTAAACATATCAATATAAAATTTAGCGGCAGCATACGCCACATTCTTATATATGTTTTCCTGCCTGTTCCTGAATAAACCTTCATCAAATACAGTAAATGATACATTTGTAGCCTTAACGTGTTGGAAAGGTTGATCTTTACATTTACATTTTTCGAGGAAATCGTTATGGTTGATAAGTAACGTAGTGTATAACGTGTTTAACCGACAGCATTCTCGACAAACGGTATTTGCATCAGACTTCTTCAACTGCTCTTCACGCACTTCAGGCTCCACTGCTTCATTTACAAGGACCTTCTTAATGGCAACTGTGTTATCCATGTCCCCAATATTACACAGGGATTGGTAACGTTCATCAATTAAAGTGCCATTATTTATTTCCAAACTTTCTGTTCTCCTTTCTACAAATAGTATCTACATTAAATAAAAACTCTTCAAGCTTATTATTCACACTCCAGAAGATCACCAGCAACTGAAGCCTGACTTGGGGGAAGTAGTTGGGTGATTTCAATCGAATAAAATGTTGCTGAATAACAAAAATTGTACAGCAGTTACTTTTACTAGAAAGATTGATATTGTTGACTATTATGTAGGTGAAGAAAAAATTGGTTGTTCTAATGAAGTTAAGGATCTTGGAGTACTCTGACTCAGGGGCGGATGGGCCAACAGGGATTTTGGGAAATTTCCCACTTGCTTCCGGGCCGGTTGGACCGGCCCGGAAGCATTTTTGTATCGAGCGTCCAGCAACCCGCATTCGGGGTACCCGACCTCGGCACGTATCAAGCGCACGGTAGTACGTAAATCACTCGGACTACCGTATGCTCGATACTCGCGACTCGCGCCTACAGTCTCGAATATCTTTTTGAGTTTTCCTGGCTCCTCACCATCAAGCTACTTGATAATATGTATTAGTTTAATTTTGGTTCTGGTAGTCAAATCGTAAAGCAATTTTAATTCTATTTGCCTAGTTATTTGATGCTGTCTCTAACAAACTATCCCAAACTAACCCTAAGGCTGTGCTTACCTTAACCTTTTGCTCAGCTCCAATTTGGGTTAGTTTTGGTTAGTTTTGTTACTTAGAAACAGCATCATAAATAATTATTTACATCTGCCTGAATCTAATCTCCGCATTTGTCAAATAACGATTGCAGGTATACAAATCCCTAAGTAAATAGCAAAAATCTTGTTAATTTTTACCTGCTTTAAAAATTCGATTTTTAAATCGTTCTAACATATTTCAAAAAATATGCGTTTTTTTTTGGAGAAAAAAGTATACAGATGATAATGTCATTGGAAGAATGGCTAACACAATAATTCAAAAATGTTTTCGAAAAAACGTGAAAGTGGCCTATTCTATCTCGCCATGGTATTCTATTCATGGTAAGGTTATGTAGATAAAACATAATTTTGCTCTTACTTATTCCCTTACCTCGACTTCCTGCTTAGTCTTGAAATTAGTTCGTATTTCGCTGGAATCGACAATGTGGTACATATAATTTTCTGGCCAGTGCATAATAAATGATAAACAATTAAAAAAAAAAAACTTAATTGTTGGACGCCGATCCATAATTTCGCAGAAGACTAGTATCAAGCGTACGGTAGCTTGACAATCGATCGGGAAATCAGACGCTCGTTATGAGACAGGCCTCGGTTAATACGACGTTACCCGAATGCGGTATACTGGGCGCTCGATACAAAAATGCGGCCCGGAAGCATATTCATTTTTTGCCAACGCAACTGATATTCGGCTAGATTCGTGCCCTGCGCCATGAAGCGTTAGCAGAATATGAGCATCGCAACCAGACGTTGGCACTTCATGTGACTGTATGTTGCAAGCATTTTATTGATAATTAGGTCCAATATGTGTTTTTTATTCGAGGGAAGAGAAGATAAAAGATAATAATTTTATTTACATGAAAATTTCAGCTAAAACAATGAATGGCATAATATTGTGGTAGATAGATCTACCGATGTCTTTAGAACTACCCGATGGAAACTAACTATTTTATAGAGTGTGAGCTAAAAAAAAAATGAAATAAGAAAATGCAAATGTGAAAATTGGGAAATGTCGAAAATGCAAATTGTCGAAAATATGAAAAGTTCAAAATACAAAAGATTTTTTTCTCTTCTTGTTGTTGTAAAATAAATGTTCAGCTGAACTTTGTTTCTGTCGGACAACGTCAGAGAAACATACATGAGCTCTATTTTTTATACGCGCTCTTTTTTTGCTATTTGATCAGCTTCAGAAACAGATTGGGTCGCATTTCCAGCACGGGTCAGTTTGGATTAATTTGGATAAGGTAGGTACTTTTCATGTACTTGCTTGAAAAAAGGAAATAGAAAGGAACAGCGCCTATCCGTAAAAAAAAAAAAGTGCGGTTTTTCAACCAAAATTAACCCAAACCAACCAAAAATATCCCATACTAACGTAATTCGCAAACCAACCGAAACTAACTCAAATCTACCAAAAAAGTTCTGGGGCCTTTGAATATACACAATGATTAATTTTCAAACTTTCAATAAATTTATTTCTTCATTCGTTATCCCATTTCGCATTAAAACGTACCAACAGCTAACAATAACTGCCACTTTCCAACTGAATTTATTTAGAGAATATTTTCTCGAACGCCAGGCAGGCTCTAAACTGTCAACGTTAGTCCACTTCAATCATAATTTGCCTAAACTGTGCTCGAACGAACACGAATGCAGCCGAAGGTCCTATTACGTTGGCAGAAAATGAATATGCGAGGGTTTTCGTAGCGTGCGCCTTTACGTTCAAATGTGTCCACTGCTTTTATTTCAAAAAATAGACCCAATATTAATCGAGACTAAATGAAGCTTATTAAATTGCGCAGTTTTTAGTTGAAGTAAAAGTAGAATAGTACCTTGCATAAGGAAGTTGCGGCAAGGTAAGTTTGAAAAAATATTACTGATTTGCTGCCTTTTGTTTAATATTTTTGTTTTTCTCAACTTGTTGAATGAATTTTTAAAAATAAATATACACCAAAAAAAAGAAAATTGAATGAGGAATCGAACTAAAAAAAAAAACTTGTTTCTATTTTGCTTTGAACAAAAGTTATGCGGATTCAAAGTAAAAAAAACTATATTCAATATTTATCCAGTTTTTTGCCTATATCTGCATGCATACATGCTTTTTCAAATGGGGAAGGTCCCATTTGGTTGGAAGTCGATTTTTTTTTTATGCATCCTAGGAGGAGCTATCCGACGGACTATACATGTTAGTTTTGTGATATACGTTCAATACGGCATAAGTATTTTTTTACTGTTTTAGGAGACCTCAATCAAAAGAGATAAAATGTAGTTGTCATGCCTTGGCCAGCTTAGCTTGCACATACATTAAAGCCTGTATAAGGTACCTATATGTAATAACTGTGAGAACTGTAGCCGAAGGTATTTTACCTATCTAGCTATAATTTTATATGATATTCTAGTAAAATTTAATGTTTATTTAATATTTTATTCGTGTAGCTTTGTTGTTTATTGTTAGAATATTTATTTCTTGTGATTTTTTAGCAGGAGATTGACGTTTGTTTTGCGTTTTTTAACTCTTTATTCGACCTATCAATACCATTTCCAAATCCAAGCGGCAATAAATGACAAACTGAGTCATTTTCATTAACCTATCAAATGTCCCCCGTGCACGCGCACTGGTCCAGGTAGGGCGTTTCAACCAATAGGAAGGTTGATGTTTGTTTAAAATTAAGGTTATTAAATGTCATTTACTGCCGCTTGGATTTGGAAATGGTGTAGCTATAATATAGATATATTTTTTCTAGTACAATTTAGTGTTTATTTCTCCTTTTTTTTGTAAATCTACATCATAAAACTTTATGGAGTACCACATCATTTTTCTCATTCGGATCTGAGGAAAAAAGATGTGGAATAACATAAATAAGTTTATTTACGACTGACATATAATGTAAGTATTATATTGGTGAATTTGGCAGTTTATTTACGACTAATGTATAATGTGCGTATTATATTTGTGATTTTGGCAGTATAATGACATATGTTATTCCTCCAGGGATTAATGACGAGTAGCGGGATTAATGGTCATTATTCCGTAAAAGTGTCAGTGTCAAACGTGTAGTGCTTGTGGATTTGTATTAAAAATTATGAGACGGAGGAAATTTGTTCATTGAAAATCTCAAATAAATTAATTTGTCGTAAATAAAGTAGAGTATACTACTCGCAATAATGGCTATTATTCCCTCGGAATGTTACTCCCTCGCCGCTAACGCGGCTCAGTTCGTAATAATCCTCGAGAATAATGGCTATCATTATTGACTCGTGGTATAATCTACTATTAATGACATCTATTATTCCCGCAGGGATTAATGGTCATTATTCCCGCTTGCACACCAATCACAAAATTTCTCAAATTAAATAAGTAGGTAGTACCATGGAAACAGTATAGAACCAATTCAGTGTCAGTGTCAAACGCGTAGTGCTTGTGTATTTGTATTGAGATGGATGAACAAAGAGCGTTTTTGGAAAAAAAAATTCAAATAAACTAATTTGTCGTGAATAAAGCAGAGTATACTACTCGCAATAATGGCTAGTATTTCCTCGGAATATTACTCCCTCGCCGCTAACGCGGCTCAGTTCGTAAATATACCTCGAGAATAATAGCTATCATTATTGACTCGTGGTATAATCTACTATTTTTGAGCAATCAACTAAGTTCAAATTCGAAATTCCCGCCATTTTTTCACTACAATTTCACTAGTCGACACGAGTCGAGCGTCTCGTATAAGCAACATCAACGTTATTTCCGAGCCGCATCCTTCGACTTCGAGCAATTAGAATCCCCATCCAGGCGGTACTCTTACCGAGTAGGGTTATTTGTTTTCTCTATGGTCAAAGCCTATCCAAAAAATTTGACTTTGACAAGCAAACAAAAGACTTGTGTACCTCTTGGCGAACA